TTTTTGGTTCCCGCCTATCGTGGCATTTTTGCATGGTGTTGATGCACTGGCCGCACGACTACCAGAAAGCCTCACGCGCATCAACGACCGTGACGCCGGATGTGAGAGAGAAGTGCTGCGAATTCACAGCCGCAAAGCGGAAAAAGGATCAATCTATGTTTGCCTTCGTACTGATCACGCGCATGTCATGGTTCCTGAAGCCGGAGATATTCCCGATAGATACGAGTCGGGGGATTTATGGTATGCTGGAGATGACGAAGAAAATCGGCATGTTTGTTTTAGTAGGCCTCCATCTAGTTACCAGGCCGTTCTGACTGTTTTATATTAGAGCATAAGGGCGTTAACAATCGCATTCTCCGCGGGCTGGGCTGGATCCAAAGCCACGGGAAGCGGCCCACCCCGCGCACCAGCGAGTCTAACCTGGCGCCAGTGCAGGACCTCCTAAGGTTATACAATGAGCTCCGGTCACTCCAGTGCGATGCAAATAGGTTCATCCGACGGGTATTTAGCAGCAATGATGAAGTGTGGGTTGACAGGTGTACATCCATCATCGTATCAGATAGCTGAGTTCGACAATGGAGGAGAAGAGCACAACGCTGCCGCAGGTACTCGGCTGAGTGACTTCAAAGAAAAGGCACGATGGTCCATGGATATGAAATCACAGTTGCGGCCCCCGGGAAGAGCTCTTCTAAAGGAAACACACAGAATAATGGGAAGAATCGTTCGACCCGGATTGAATGTTAACTAGAGGTGGCGAGGAAAAATGTCGTTCAAGAGATAGTGAATGTGGAATGGACAAGAAAAGTCAGAAGGATAAATTGGAACCAAGTGCAAAGGAAAACGTAAAGAATAAAAGGAAACCGGCGTATAGAGTAAACGAGTTGGATGAAATATCAAAAAGCGGAGCTAAAGCCAGATTCAATTCATAGTGAGAAAATAAGGGGAAACGATGTTGAACCCAGGTTCATTTCTAAGGTGGGAAAATTTCAGAAATGGGGTTGTGTAAGGGTCTAGGACAAGGTCGGTGCCATTGGTCTAGCCTACTACTACGAGCATTCCAAGCTGGAGGAAAGAAAAACCATTCTGGGAAAGAGTGGTGCCCTTCTCATCTTTAAATACATGTGAGTCTTCTTCCAGAAGCTTCCATTGAGTAAGGGCCGACAAGGTTCTCATAACCTTCCACGATATTCTGTAACCTTCCAAAGTATTCCATAGCTGAGTGTCTAGCCGAAGCTTCATATCGGTCCATAGACCGTGACAATTACTATTTTTAAAGTAGTAATTGATAATATTAATATAGTGTTATAACCTATAAGTAAGGATAATAGCTAAATAACTTACTTAGGCGTTAAGTAGCTAAGATAGGATATTTATACTATAGGATTATAGGTGTAATAAGGACTTACTTAGAAATAGAAAACCTATAGTATAAGTTATATAATAATAAGATAAGAGATTAGATCTAAATACTAAGGATATAGAGGTTATACTTAGTAAAAATAGATCCTATTTATATTAAGAATAGTCATAAAGTAAAAAATACTATTTAGAACTTATATATAGTATAACTTTAAACTTAGTTCTTAGTTAGAATTCTATAGCTCTTTAGTAATTAACTTAGTATTTATCTTTAAAATACTCTTAGCTTACTTTTACTATAAATTACTTATTAAGTCTAAGACTAATTACCTTAGCTTCTAAAGACCTAATTTATTATAACTTATAACTTATAACTAAGACTATAACCTTAGTATACTATTATAGTGTATTAATCTTTAGCTTCTATTAGTAGACCTTACTATTAGATAGCTAACTATAATATATAGTATAACTAGTAATAATATCTTAATATTAAAAGAGTAATAAGTTATAGTAATATAAAAAAAGAGATACTTACCCCTTATAATTAAAAGCGATTTACGCTCTCTTTATATACCTCTATAAGTAGCTATAGACGTTTCTCTATAAAGCTTAAGCTATCCTAGCCCTTAAATATTTCCCTATAAGAGTTATATAGCAGTTCATAAAGTGCGCCTCTAGGCAGCAAACTACGAAGAAAAAAGTTAGAAGGGAAGAAAGAGACGACATAGCAGACGACAGTGGCAGACGACGGCGGCGGCAGCGACAAGAATGACGGCAGACGACAATGAGCTTGGGGTCTTCAAAAAAAGAATTCGCTGTATTGACTACCTTGAATCCAAACATCCTGGGACCCTGACACCATGTCAGGTTGTCCGAACCAACCGTGACGCGTCGCATCAATCGATTCTTCCACGGTGAACGTAGCGCCATGTTCATGGATCAGCGACTCTACGAGTTCATAGGCCTTGGATTCGGCGTCTGGGTTGGCCTGCTTGATGAATGCGTCCTTTAGTAAATAGCTATACGCGCAGCTGACTCCTGGCTCGTCTCCGGAGCCAAGGTGCAAGATGTTCTGGTACGTCTGGTTGACATTGAGTCCATACTCGATGCAGGTTGAAATCACCTCCAACGCTCGTTCCAGTTTACTGCTGGGTAAAGAGAATAGGTTGCCAGCAATGAAGGCATGGAAGTGTATGCTCTGCCGAGTGATGACTGTTTCGTATGCAAATCCAGCACCCCTTTCCAAAAGCGTGCGTAAAAGATCTATTCGGCCGTGGTACGCTGCGGCCTCAATGGGCGTCTGGAACGGGGGGGGTCCTGAACCACTCCTGAAGAAGGGTAGTCTCGTTGAGTATTCCGAATATGAGCCATCTGGCAGTGATCCTGCTTGTAAAAGCGCTGAAAGGCCGTCGACGGTTATGCCCCTTTCAATGTGCTAGGTAAGAAGAGGCTCTGACATTGTCGTTTCCTGATCGTCGATTGGCAACCCTGGGTCTATTTGTCGAAGAGCCCGTATCATGTCGCTACTGCTCGCAAGATGGAATAAGGTAATCTGTTCATCACGATCGACGAACTGCATGAATCGGTCCCATGGTTTCTGCTCTTCAACGAGAAGACCCAGAAGCTCCACGTGGTCGTTTTTGACAGCGTGTTGTACCAGGGTTGGATGTAGTAAATACTCGCGTTCCACATTATTGAATCCGCAGGAATGGGTTACTTCGCAGTTGCATTGAATGATTGGATGGCGGAGCCGAATCTGTGGAAGTCGGGATTCAATATCGTCGATCTTATATCCACGCCTCAATAGGTGTCGGGCGAAATCGACGTCGCCTTTGTGTATGAAAGCCCAAGACATCGCTCGATTGAGGCCACGGGCTAGATCGAACTGGATAAGGGTATTGACTGTGGGGGTTATTGGGCTACTTTTGTCGCTGTTTATGAGTCCTCCTTGAAACGCTAGCGCTGAGCAGGTCCGATGCAGACTTGATATATCAGGGAGATTGAGGTGGTCGCAGATAAGAAAAATGCAGTCTTTTGCCAATGTGATAATGTTGAGTCTCTGATGGGTGTGCCGTCGTGGCTGGCTGAGTGCGTAATCTAGTTGCCTGTTAGAAACAATTTGCAGATGTTCGAAGCCTTGACGCACGGCTGCAATAAGAGAAGTGCACCATGATGACAACCCGAGGTGCTCGATGTATTGAATCTGATGCTCGACAGAAGGATACGTGATGCTGAATGCGACGGGAGAAACGAATGGATTTGCAAATGTATAGAGGACGTGACCAGACCTGAGGATTGACGTCTGATGCGTGTGGTCTGAAGGCATGAAGAAGGTTAAGTGGTCTTAGCATCGATTTTCGCTCCTACTTCCACACCCCATGTGCCTTTCGAAGCTGGCGGTAATTGCCTTTCTTTTACTCCCGCTCCTCGCCCTTTCCTCAGCGCCAACTTCCCTGTGGCGTCGCCACCTTCCGCCTTTCGCTGCTGTTCGTCCCTCTACAATAGGTTGCTCGTGGCATCCACCACACCAACTGCAACTGCTTGAGATACCCAACTGCAGAAACTTCGATCGACAGACCGACACCTGCTTGGACATCGCGATCCTTCCGAATTCTCCCACCTGGCACGCTTTCAACTGCAATAAGGTAATCCGATCTTGGCAGGGAGCCGCACATAGCCCTGAGCAGGAGCATGGCGCTATTCCAAATCTCATCGGCCAAGGTAATCAGCCGCGCACCAAATTGCAGCACTGGCAGACACCAACCCGTCGGCGCATGCCCAAGGCAAGACCCCCATACCGTGAAACACTCCACAAGGGCTAACTTAGCAAGCTCTGCGCTCTTCCGGATGCGAGACGCATGTTGTCAAATTAGGCTCAGGATCAGCGACGCCCCAACCCCCACAGCCGTCGCCGACTGCATCTCCGCAGTGGAGAAAGTCCTCGGAGCCCAACTATGACTCAGGCCGGACACTTGATGGGAGTGAAGGCCTCGCTAGAACTCGCCCAGTCATTGAGAAATGGTCATGATCATCTTGGATGATTGGACCGGTCGCATCGTAGGTCGGGTGCCAAGACAGAAGCTTCGCGCGGAGGGGGGAAATTTTAGGCAGCCAACGTCGAGATGTAACCGAGTTGCGGCACAGCAAACAAGTTGAACAAGGGTTGCAGTCACCAACCGATAAATCAAAGCGATTGTTTGTTGTAGTTCAGCTGCTTTGCCGCAATCCACCGTTCATTTAAGAAATCAACGGCCCATTCTGCTCGGCTTTCCAGCCTGCTCTCTTTTCCCCTTGCTGCGCTGATTTTCAAAGACTCCAAGGCATTCCTCAAAGACCGTCCCTCAAAGAACTCAAATCCCAGCAACCTCTCCTATCCCTTCAATCATAAACACAATGCAGCTACTCAAAGCCATCACCCTCACCTCGGCAATGCTGCCAGCCGCCCTCGCCAAGATCGACCCCCTCCCAACCTCGACCGACGCAGAGTCGTACCTCTCCGACCACCCAAGCCTCTCCACCGTCGCCACCGGCACGCAAGCGACCTCCCTCGTCAGCGCCATCTACAGCGCCGAGAAGAGCTGGAGGGACGAGGACATGTACACGACCATGTACTCGCACATGTGGTCAGCCGCCGCCAAGGCCACCAACAGCCCCGACGTGGTCGCTTCGCTGGCCGTGACGGGCTGGTCATACTGGGACACCACCGAGCAGAGCTGGTGGAAGGATAACATGCCGGACAAGGAGAATAAGTTTGTGTCGGAGTACATGTCGGATTGGGAAAGCGCGTACCAGAAGGTGATGGCAACCGCAACGGGAACTGGGTCCAAGGGCGCGGCGCCGCGGTGCACTGGAATGGCGATGGCTGGGGTTGCGGCTGGAGTGGCGGCGGGAGTCATGGTTGCGATGTGAGACTTACTTTGGAGAAATGGTTGTTGACTGGTGTACTCCATAAGCGAATGTTCAAACATCATATTCCAAATCATGTCAGAGAGAGCGCGTGATATTAAGAATAACTAACGTAACTTGCCAAATAAGGCTGGGCTGAGAAGCAAACTGGGCGCTGCCTCCAATTGAGGAGTCAATAAACCTGGATGTGTGAAATAACGCCAGACCCTCCTGCCGATTTCCTAAGAGTTCAAGATCTCCTCTCGGCGCTGTCCCTCAGCAAAGATGTCCTCCAGCTTTCTGGCTCCCTGACCAAAAAGAACGGGCTTCTCCTCCAAGATCAAGATGATCTTGTCCACCGTCTCTTGGAGCTTGAGCTTATCGACCAGAGTGCGGGCATCAAGGGCGCACTGCGCCTTGGTCTGGGTCTTGGCGGCTCCCGTGTCGGTGGGCTCAGCAAGGGTGGGTGGAGGAGGAGGGCGATTCTCAAACATGGTCCGGCTGTCGCACATCTTCTTCACGACACGAGCGACAGCCCTAGCCACGTCCAGGCCATGTTCCTTGTTGAGCCGAGCGCCGGTGCGGTCTTTTGAGAGGGCCTTCGTGAGTCTCTTGAGGAAGGATTCGTCGGTTAAGTCCTTTGTTGGGTGCCCGCGTAGGACCTTGAAAACGGTTTCAACAAAGAATAACTGCCGGAAGATGAGGGAAGACTGGGAGAGACTGTAAGGTCGATAGTTTTTATTGATGTGGAGAAGCTGGTCGAGCAGCTTCGCAGGCGCATCTTTGCCGAAGAAGGACCCATCAGCCTCTCTGCAGCACTCCAGCTGGGACATGTCGATGAGACGCCAGCCTGAACAGAATTAGCTGACGTGTTGCGCGAAGTGTGAGTGCGAGTACGGCGAATAATACTCACTCATTTTGACAGGACGACAGTGACGGACGTCGGTGTGGGTAGGACGCAGGAGAGAAAGCGTGGCCGACTGATAGAAGTATCCCAGGAGGAGGGTCGACTGAGGACGAGAGGACCGTATCAACGCGGGACGAAGCTGAGGAGAGGTGTGACGAAAGTCGCGCTGAGGAATGGCGATAGGCTTGGGAAGGTGGAAGTCGTTGCTCAGAGTTGGTAGCAATCGAGGACGTGGCGAAGAAGGTTCCCACGTTAGCATCCTTGTGTAGAGAAAGAAAGAAGAGAGAGGCTTCAGGCAGCTCAGAAACGAGATTTATCTACAGATGCTGGAGAGCCGTAGACCCACGTGGGGCATCTTCAATCTCACCTTGAGTTCGCCTGAATTCACCTTCAAGCCGTTGAGTGAACGAGCAGTAGGTCGGGCTCAGTTAGGTAAGGTAGGCTGTCCTACCGCCAGAAGACCTCACCTTCTGGTCGTCGCGACCCACACATTGGCGATCCACGTCATGGTGAATGAAGCCAGACTGCGAAGAGCCAGCAGCCGCTCCAAGCGCCAAGCGCACGCCCGCCCTTCGGGCTGGGCTTTAAGTCAAACTATCAACAAAATCTGCCAGAGTTCTAAGGTCTAGTGGTCACAGGATGCATCCGATTGGGGAAAGTCCTTCTAGATAACAGGCATGGCCTAGGGTCGAGCGTTCGATTCCCGCCTCAGGCGGCTTGGACTTGAAATACTGGCCCAAGGTCGAAGTGTGAAATCCTTTCCTTTTGTGATTCTTTTCACTGTTTTTTGCAGCTTTATATGTTACCACCTACACTTCAAGTTACAGCTGCTGATTTGGCAGACTTAAAGTGAAGTATTGTGTCTAAGCAAGAGTTTGGGTGAATATGAGCTCTGTGAGGCGTCGCTTCTACTTATCAATCTACTGCTACAGCAGAAGTTGAGGACGCACTTCACGGGTGGTTCTGATCTCGCTCAATCTGGAGCGCAGCTCCTGAGGCGAAGCGCAGCGAGGGAGTCACACATCTATTACCTTAACCACTAAAGTCAAGGCGCAAAAACGATATAAGAGAGCTCTTCGCTAACCAGCCGCAGCTTTAGGGCCCTTTGCGGATTAGCTAAGTGAACTGGAGCTAATGTGAGGTTATTCCAGCAGGGCAGGAGCTTAAGAGGGCAAGCGTGAGGGCAGGTGGGAGGGCTACGCTCCCGTAGTTGCGCTGAGAGAAAATTCAGCGGCAAAGGTCTGGGCTATCGAAGATAAGAAATATTTTAGAAGGGTTTCCAATCCTGCACCGGCCTTGTAATCGCGCCGACGTTGACAACACGTGACCCAAGCGCAAGGTGAGATCCGGATACCAGGAGGAGCCAAAACTTCAAATTTCCACCTCAACACCACAACCACCGTGTCTGCGATCCTTTCCATCTGTCGAGCAGAGATCAGATTCAGCTCAAGATTGTCGTCCGAAAATTCCCCGAGATACCCGAGTAAGCTGCCCCATAACCATGCACATTCGAGACAGCTAACACGTCGTGAGCAAGACTCCAAAATGACCGACTTCAATCTCGACCAGCTCCTTCGCGTGCCCGGCTTGACCTTCAAGGCCGCCGGCCCTGTGCTTGGCACAGACAATATCGCCGAGTCCGCCCTCCGTCTTTGCCAGCTCGACTCTGGCCAGCGTCACCAGGGCGCCAGTCAGCTCTTGGTCGTGAAGCGCATCACCTACTTCGCGCGTGGAGCTCTCGGTATCAGCACGCACTACCCCGATATCGGTCCCAAGACAGTTGCCTATCAGAGCATAGTCACACGAAGCGTCACTCTCGACAGAATTGCCCAACGCGAGCATGTCGCCAAGGGCCTCACCATGCGTCAAGCCGTCATGCGCATCGTCGAAAACTACCGCATCGCCCGCAATCACTACGTTCTCCACGCCGACGTCGTCGACCCCCCTGTTCCTGTCGCTCGCGAGAATGAGACAGAGGCTGCGCTCGCTACCCGCCAGCGATTCGATTTCGCGCTGCGAGAGATGTGGGGCGTCCTCGGCCAGCTTCAAGACCTGATGACTGTGAGCGGCAAAAAGACTCTGGCTGCGAAGCAGGCTCTGGCTCAGGAGGTCAAGAAGGGAGAGCTCTTGCAGCAGAAGCTTCGTCTCCACGAGAAGGATGCCGAAATCTAGAAGAAGGAGCATCTTACCTCTCGCGACAAGTTCATGGCAGCTGAGAAGAAGGCAACTATCTTGCAGAGTAAGAATGAGGACTCGAAGAAGGAAAATGAGGACTTGGAGAAGGAGAATGAGGACTTGAAGAAGGAGAATGATGACTTGGAGAAGGAGAGTGATGGCTTGAAGAAGGACGGCATGTATGCAATGTCGGCTATCGAGGCTTTCGAGGACAGAGGCATCTCCGAGGATGGGCTCAACGAGCTGGAGGCGATTCCGCAGTGATGTATCAGCGACGACTTGGAGACGGGCTTTTGATACCTAGTGGCTATTGCGCATGGAAGAAGGAACTCAGAATACGGTTGGAACGACCGTTTCACGATTGTCATGAGGTTTGGGCTATCGAATGTCAGGGTTACAGACCAGAAGTAGCATAGGGAACTGGCATGTCCAATTGCGTCCGCCCAAACATCGTGTCATAACGCACACCGAAGGTTCCAACATCGGTGATGGTCTTGTCTCGTTTCCTGTCAATTTGGTCTCCTCTGTCGCAATTATCCCGAATATGCGGGTCCTTTGTTTGTCGAATTCAGCAGCGCGGGTCTTTCACACGCATGCGTCCCTCCGAGCCTGCGGTAATCTAGCATTATTAGATAGCTATGATAGATGAATGTAGGCCTCGATATACGAACAATGCCATCCATCCTGGACCTTCAATGCCAAAGTATCTCGTGACGATTGGCTGACCACAAGCCTTTGAGCAGCGCCGCCGTGCCCACAGCAACAATACTTAAGTCTGAAACCATCTTGCATTCAGCACATGGTTGTTCAAACGGTTTAACTACCTGGATTTGACATTGCAGCCCGGGTAACCCCCGAGGGTCAAGTTCGAAATATGGCTAAGACAACAGTCTGGTGCGAAAGCCGTCACATGGAGAGCTTCATCCTACTTTTTGAAGTGCTCTGCATCAGCGAATGACTATTTTGGGGCATTTACACAACTAGGTTCCCCCTCGCGTATCTCAACTTAGCTTCGTGGCTGCAATTAGAGACACTCTTGCCGCTCTACGTAGGTATTAATTAAGAGTTCGGCTTCTTATCGCGAAGGAAAGCGGCATAGTCATTGCCTGCGTTATAACTGAACTGAAATGGCTCAGTCTATCCCCAACCGGGTCGAATCGCTGAGTTCGGATCCACGCATTTTGCGTGCTTGTTTTGGGTATGTAAACCTATGCCATTCAAATGCTGGCAAAGGTCTTCGTATGTTCAAATGACATCGAAGATGTAACTGTTGATTCCCAATACTAAAAGAGGCGGCTGCCTCGGTCACTTTCTCAAGCACCAAACGCTTGTAATAGGCTTTGAAGGCACTGCGTGTTTCATTTTATCAGTACCATTGCGATTTTCTGAGATATTCCTTCTACCCATCTATGAACCCTGAGGCTGCCGCGTTTTCAAATGAATGCATTACTCCGCAGCCAGGATGGCTGCTAGTATTGGCTCCCTTAACCCGGGAATCAATTATGCTCATGGAGTAAGTTCTCCTAGGAATTTTCATCTGCTAAGGTTTCCATTCCTCTTTTACCCCGGTAGTAGGACAGTATCAAAGGATTCTCATTCAGCCTATACGGTCTCTCGTCTTCTACCTCGAATGTATCTTTTGCCGATTTCCAGAGGCTGGATCCTCTCCAGCAACGGAACCCTTTGAACCATTAGCTTCGTGCCACTGGAAGACTTTTTGGTACACTCACCTGTGTTCGCGAGAGGCAATTTATTTAGGTGGAATTGGCATCGTTGGCGCATGGTGCATTGTTTACCGAACGGCCGTAGGCGGTCAGGGTTGCGTTATCTTCCAGAATCTGGGGGACATCGCGATTGCCATTTCGGAGCTTTCGGCGGTTTTGTCTTTGGTTACGCAGATGAGGTTTTTCGAATTCCTCAAGTTCGTCCAAGTGACCCAACAGGGTGAAGTCAGGTTGCGAATTGTCTTCATCCATGTGTAGCTGAACGTAACTCCTCCGAGCCTTTCGGTACGCGTTGACAATCCGAAAGATAGCATTCTTGACGCTCCTGCCATGCTTTGAAACTTCTTTTGATACAAGAGGCATTCCGAACAGAGCGCTGCCAAGGCACCTGTCGAGAACCCTGGACCAGAAGGGATGGGAGTTGAATTCGATCTCTTTCTCGTGATCGGCGACTAGCGTGGTGTAAAGAATGATTTGCCACAAGGTGAACTCAAAGTCCGTATTGTCTGGCTTGGGACTGAGTTCGGAAGGTTCCAAACGAAGAATGCGCATGGCCATAGCCGCGATCTTGTCTGAACCTAGACAGGGTCCGGGAGGAAACTGAACACCCTTGCCATCTAGACGGAGAAGCTTCTCGTTGCGCTCTGGGGCTCGTCTCTGAGCCCGCGAGCAGGTCATTGCTGCTGTTCCGTTGACAGTTAGAGGGATTTGTGTCGCACACAATGTGAATGAAATCAGGTCAACATACGCAGGCAGGGTATTCCCAGATGGTTAAGTGAGAACAGTGGAGGAGTGTATGCGCGGTTGTGTGCAGTAGCGGAAGTTGTAGTTGATGAAGTGTGATCGGGAGGTACGGTGTCGAAAGATGTCTGATTGGGATGAGATTTGTCGGAGAGGATTGCGGCGCTTGTCCTGGCGGTGAAGAATGCAGAAAGTAGGAGGGGGTGAGGAGGAAGTGGAATGTGTGGCTTTTGCCTGGGTACCTACGTAGCCCTCTGATTGCATGTCGAGGCCGCCCAAAGGCCTAAGGCAGAAAACCCGTCAGATTCTGGAAGGCAGGTGCTCGCCGCTAATTCAGTGATCAATAGGAAGCAAAATACACAGCACCGGGGCAACCTATTTATCAAAGGCGTCAAGTCTTATGATGTCAAAACCATGGCGAACTTATTGCACTTGTCGTCCTATTCCACCACGTAGCTTCAAAACCAATCTTCATACTTTGAACTTCAACTTTCCAGCCTATCTTCAATCCATACGTCTTTCCCATCAGCCATGTACCCCCATATCAAGTCGGAGTTCAGCCCCAAATAGCTGGCGGCAATGGCATCCAAAGACATCATCTCTGTGAGATACTGAATGTGTGGAAAGTAGAAAGCAAAAGTCTCCCGAGTACATCTCGCTTAGCCAGTTTCTTTCTTGTGCAACTCTTTGTCGACCGCAATGGCAGGGATGCCACATTTCTTTGTGCTTGTGCTGCCTCGTTGGGAAAAGCCTGCGTCATTCACAATTAGTCTTTGATCCTCTCTTTTCCGTTTGGAGTGTCAACTTACCTTCAATCTTGATCAATGCAAATCGCCTCCGCCACTGTGCTACCACTTGGGCTGGTGAGAGCACGTGCTCTCTTCACCGCGGCAGCGCGTGCGTAGGGAGGCTCAATACCTTTGAGGGCAGCCTCGCGGGTGACGGCAGCAACCTTTGCCTGCTCCTTTTTGATCGCTGCCTCAAGCTCTTTGACCCTCCCCAGATTCTCACGGTTCATGTCGAGTACGTCCTGCATCTGTTGGTTCAGGATCTTGCGGCCTGACTTGTCACCCTGACGGTAGCCTTTGGCGTGTGCCTTCTCATGATCTCGCTCATGAGCCTTCTTCTGCACGCGGAGGATAGCGACACAGTGCTTCTTGATCATGGCCTTGTCCTCATCAGAGACATCAAGCTTGTTGACATACTGCTCTGCCTCGCGGATGGTGGCAGGCTTGACCCTGTGTAGCTTTCGCATGGCAGGACTCATGTGAATTTCGTCGTCGTCATCAGTCTCATCGTCATCAGTAGACTCATCCGTGTCGGTGTCATTGTGGGTGGACGAGGGAGAAGGTAGACCAACGTCAGCTTGGGCAAAAGCCATGTTCATTTGCCGCACGATCTCCTAGTCGTGCATAGCTTGGTGGAGCTGATGGACATCCTTCGCCTCAGATGAGTAATCGAGAGGGGCTTCAAGCAAGGCTGCAGCTTCGTTGGGGTGGGTGCTTCTGTGCTGCTCCCAGCCTCGCTGGTATGTGTCGATGAGGTATGCGAGACGAACCAGGACTTTGGGGTCGGCGTCTGATATAGCAAGATCATCGCGAAGGTTTTCCTTGGCCTTCTCCCAAAACCTGACGGTGTGGAGGCTCAGAGTGGGTTCATCGCAAGCAAGTTGAGTAACGACGTCAACTATCATGGTGAGACGGAACGCAAAAGCGCCGATGGTTGTGTGAGTGTCGAGATGCAGAATGGGGAGCAACTCATCGCCGTCGTAGAAGAATGTCAGTTTGAACGAACCGTCGAGGCTGAAGCCGGGGAGATCGGCGGGAGCGGATGACAGAGCCATCATTTCGAGCTGGGTGGGTCTTCGTCTGGTCCAGACCGTGGCGAGTAACGGCTGTGGCCAAGGTGCGATTGAAGATTGATGGCGATGGTGAGCTTTCAGCCAAGGCTGAGATGGAAGTTGGGAAGGAGAAGATGGATCAGGACGGTCCGACGAAGGGGATGTGAATGGAAGGCATGCGGTTAGATGGCCTAAGGTAGGGTACCTTACGTTAATTGGGATGTGGGTCCCACTTCGGACCCACAAGCACATTACCTAGATAGTGTCACGGTGCATCTTGCCCAAGCTTGAGGTGGTCGCGACTTCAGGTTGTTCGTTTTCTTGCGCTGTTAATTGCCACCTATCGTCGAGGGTCGTGGCGATGAAAATGCCACAATGACTTTATTTTTGATGTCTATTCTACAAGCTCATGTAATGCAATGCAACCCCTCCATGATGACTACTTCCCCATTCTGGGCAGGCACAAAAAGTCCAATGCTAACCTTCCTTCAACATTTCAGGTTCGTACTAACCTCCTTCTAGTAGAGACCTGACGAGTCTAAATAGGAAAGCACGTCTCGAGTCATTGATATGTTGGATATCGTTCAATCATCAGTCAGGTCGATAACCTCAGTCTCGTCTCGAACCGACTTGGAGTTGTTGGACTCGTCCTTGTCGGTATCCTCGTCGGTGTCCTTGTCGGTGTCCTTCATTTCGGGGCTCTTCTGGGCAACACTGTGGTGGTATGCAGTGCTCTCGGTCTTGATGGTGACATCATCATCGTCGGTGTGGCCCTCACCGGTCTGGGGCTGTCCCTTAACGACGGTGACCGCCGTATCCTTGGCGAGGCTCTCATCGTCGAGAACAGCAGCACCGGCGTCCTCATTCGCTGAAATCGCCTCGTACTTGAAAAGACGGGCCTTGAGCTCATTGATCTCTCTCTCCATGTCTCTGATCTGACGGTCACGGCCAATGTTGTCCATGGCGGAGCGACGCATCATCTCCCGCTCCTGCTGCAAGACATTCTCAGATCGGCTCATCATCATCTGCATGCACATGTCCCAGCCGGAGCTCCACTTGGCAAGAGAAGCGTCCTTGAACTTCTTGTCGCCCTCTAGCTGAGCATAGTATTGGGCGGCAGCGGCCTTGTGCTCGCGCTCCTCGAGAATCTCGAAGCCTCTGTTGTCGACCGTGGCGCGGAAATCGCCGCCCGTGACGGCACTCCAGTCAGCTATGGCAAGATGGAGATCCCAAAAGACATAGTTGGTGCCAACGGGACTGGCCACAAAGCCCTTGGTGCTGTGGGGGTGGTCCTTGGCATACTTCAGCCAGGCAGCGTAGTAAAGCTCGACAAGATACTTTCACTCCCGAGTCTCTTCATTGGTGGCAGACGCAAAGATCGAGTCATTTGCCAGCAGCTCTCGAGCCATGGGCCAGAATCGGGGCTTCTCCACGTCCTTGGGCTCCAGACCGTATGCGTGGATGTTTGTCAGAGCCGCTCGGATGATGCTGGTAAGTCTGGCAGCAAACTTCTCCTTCCTGGTGTGGAACGGGCGATGGTCGGGGTCGAGGAAGACGAATCGGAACACAACCCGATGTCCGGTATCAATGAGATGCTTGGCCAAGTTCTTGTGCTTAGTCTCGAGATGGATTGTGAAGGCGAAGCCATCAATCATCATGGACTTCTCCATCAAGGAGAGGTTGCCAGGGTTGAGGTTGGACTGCGACATATTGATGTGAGGGATATCAATGTGAACTGAGTAGAAGGTTAGCGGGCTTGCATTTGAGGCTTACGAGTATCAAAAATTACCTTTGTGAAGTTGCTTAGAGGTAAAAGACTTCGCGATAGGGGGAAGGAACCTGAACAATGGTGACTGGGACAAAATGGCAGTCGTTGCAGTCGAGCGTGCTGGAAGTATGCGAATGAAAATCAGGTCGAAAAGACGAAGAGGAAGACTAGAGACGATGACGGGAGAAACCAAAGACGACAACGTTGGAAGTGGACGAAGTTGAGATCGTGCACTCACGCGGTGGGTGTGGAAGAAAAACAGCCGTTGACGCTTGGGTGAGTTGAATGAGAAGATATTTTTCCGGCGAAGGGCTGCGGCAGGGCCGACCCAGGAGGTAGGAACATCGAAGCAGCCGAAGTACGCGCCTTCTGGAACTGAGAGAAACCCGACTCGAAGCACACGCGACACCGGGTGAGGTGAAGTCCCCAGAAGTGGGGCATCCTGCCGCTCAAAGCTCCCCATAGGCCGGCACCACCTTGTGGTATGGTATATGAGTTGGGTACGTTCTGGAATCTGTCACCAAATCGGGGCTTCGCCAGCCACTGGGCCACTTGGCCTAGTTGGTTGTGTTTTTGTTGCTACGGGTAGCTCGGGCTCACTCGACACATGTGAATGAGGTATCTTGCCTGGCGGGGTACTAACATTCGAAAGTCGTACTGACCTGCCTACTCAATTTGGTATCTCTTTTTTGCAGCTTCATTTTTTGTTTTCTAATAGAAAATGGGTTGGAATGGTTTTTTGCTTCCGTGTCTGCCATCGTTTTGCTCATCTTTACGTGGAGGATTCGCGGTTGGGTGCCCCACCCTGAAGCTCAAGTGCATTCTGACCGGCCACATCCAGTACGCACCAGTAACTTAGCCGTCACCCGAGCCTAATAGGTAATCTCAATAGGCACTGGTATTAACGTTCTTCCGTACTGCGACTGGAACTCGCGTACCTTAGGTACCTATTGATGGACGCGAGGCAGACTCTTCACATGCCACGCTCCCCGGAAAGGTAGTGGTCTCCATCATTGCTACTCCATCCATACTTCAGCGACCCAGCGACCGCCGCTGTGTCTCTACCATGGCGTCTGAGCCGAAGAATCCTTGCGAAAAGGCTACATCTTCTCGTCTCCTCCGGTACGTTCAATTTCTTGGAGTAAGGTTTCATGCTGATAACTCACCTCGGACACCAGATACACCGCCAAGAACATGCAAGAGCGACGAACGCAAGGCCTAGACCCTACAGAACCCAAAGACATACGAACAAGTCTTTCTGTCTTGAGAACGACCGTCACGAAACTCGAGATCGAAGCCAACGCCTACCAGGAGGCCATCAAGAAACAAGATCTCCTTATCGGAGAAGCTTTTAACATCTTGCAGGATCCATCATCGGGCCATCCAATGCGACAGACTCCTTCCATCATCTCCAGAAGCTCCGCAAAGTCCTGGACCGCCTCATTGGAGCACCTTTGGGACCTCTACACGGAGCGCGCAGCTCTCAGAATCAAGCTTATGAAGATTACCGCGGACAAGAAGACGGCGGAGCGTTCAGTGCAAGCGCTCAAGAGCCTCACGATCACCAAGGCCAGCAAGAAAGCCGAAACGCCCACGGGAGATGCTGTCGCGACACTGGCGTCTGCCATGAAGCATCTTGCTCTTCAGACCGTGACGACACCAAAGATTACGGAAGCACAGAAGACGCCGTCTGATTCCAAGCAGCAGAGCAATCAGATCACGCGTTCCAATTGCGGGAATCTTGGAAGGCCTGAAGCGAAGCTTCGTCAGACGACAGAGCCGTCGACCGAGAAGAGGCGAGCTTCCCATGGAAGGTATTCTATTCGCATTGTCGAGGATAATGAGCCCTGGAAAACATACGGCTACCAGGGTGACAACTTTTACGATCACTACGACCGCATTCGTGCCCTGGCTCGGAAGCGATGAGCTCATGGGCGGTCGGAACTCTTACAGAAGTCATCACGCCCGCTGGCAACAACGGAAACACGGTCACGTGGGCGAAATTACATATGAATCGTACTCTTCATGAGTAGCAGTCATTTGTGCTCTTCATGAGCCATGGTTATCATTACTCTTCATGAGTAGCCCTCTGAGAACTGGGAGGACAGAGGTAGCAGTTTAGATCCATCAACGTAACTTTCAAAGAAAAAAGCAGTGCCACCTGTTTTGTGACCTTTCTTGCTACCAAAACGTCTAAACAAGGCCCGAAGTCATTGGCTGTACCCCCGTGGAAAACATCGAGTCACGGAGGCCCTCTTCACCGCTCCCCAGACGCCCCTAATAATGAAGCTGACTGACTAAAAGCCCTTGGCGAGTACTTATTTGCATCATTGGCCTCAGCTTTGACTTGGCTACGTAACTAGACAATGAACCTGTTCTTGTTTTTCGAGTCTGCCTCCCTCTGAGTAAGAAGGCTCTGCTGGTTGTTGACATGCTTGTTTGTCTCAAAGAGCCCCTGCTCCGGACGAAAGGTATCATCTTTACTCTTTTTAAGTACGGCACTGGACAGTGTTGTGTTGTGCGCGTTCTCCTACCCCGATAGACCCTTTGGTGCCGCTCTTCATTCATTCATCTCGGTCTCACCCATATCGTCAATCCGAGCCATGCTGGCAAGGCCGTTGGAGGTGCAGGGATCCTGGATCAGGGCGCCAAAGTATGGTCCGTAGTGATCTGGCTGGTAATTCAAGCAAGCGAGAGTGATGAAATCTTATTACACAGGCACTGGGATGTCGATAGCGGTGCAGTTTCTGCAGGTTCCTCGCAATGCCGTCGAAATTATATGTTGATCTTGAGACTGTGTTTGACCATCTCGTTGGCTTCGAACAGACGGATGCACAATGACAGCATTGCGGGTTGCCAGGGAGACCTCACATTCCAGATAGTCGAAGTCGTGGCGGATGAGACGTTTCAGTTCGCTGTCCTTGTTACTGCCTGCGCTATTCTGCTCGTCGTTTCGGTTGCCGTTTCTGGTCCTGCTACCATTGGAGGCTTGGTTGGCATTGAAATTGCTCGCATGGACCTTCCTCACATCATTGCTGGACTTGAAAGGCGCCTTGCTACTGTTGCATCGGCCATCGGTCTAGTCTTTGACGAGTGTGTTCTTCAAAGACTCTCGAGCTGTGGGACCCCGAGCTGTCGGACGTTTGGAAGCACTGTGCTCTTGACGCAGACCACGAGGCACTCATTGCAGTCGTCTTGAGACTGATAGAGGCTCTATTGTATCTTACAACACTTTGCATAACAATCAGTAAAGATAGCTGAAGTATGAGACAAAGGAAGATTTGGAGCGGAGGCAATCTTTCTTCCCTTCTAACTTTTCTTCTTCGCAGTTTACCGCCTAGAGGCGCACCTTATTAACTACTATATAACTCTAATAGGGAAATATATAGAGGGAGTATAACCTCTATAACTAAGTTATAAGGTATATAAAAGGAATTTTTAAACTATTTATCTAAACTAGTAGAAGTAGCCCCCTATTATACTATAGTTTAAATTTAAAATTTTCTAAGATAAATCTTATATATATCTCTTATTTAATTAATATAACCTTTATGATTAATAATATTAAGTATCTAAAAAAGAACTAATTTACTATATATTTAGTAACAATTTAGTTATATCTTTGTAGTCAAAAATAATAATATAATATCTCTAACGTACATGATAAGCGAGCCGAACAGACAAGCGAGCCGAACACCCAACCACAACCACATTATAAATATAATCACCAAATAACCAAAAAAACTATAAATCAATTAAAACTACTCAGAAACCTCTTCATTAGACGTTTCTTCAACAAATTGACATGTTCGCGCATTATGACCGGTGTTCCCACAGACGCCACATCGCCGTTGGCCCGTCTCAGTCCTTGGCCGACGACCACTACTCCGACGCGTTTCCTCC